TCAGCCACATTCTTCCTCTTTTTTCTAAACTGATGCAAAAAACGGGCACCGAGGCGGATTCGAACCCGCGCCACAGCGGTTCAGTGTACCACGCGATAAACACCCTGCCACATCATCTTCAGCGATCATGTACATTTTCTACCTTATTTTGTTCTTCTCTTTTCTTTTTCTTCCTTTTTATAATTCGACTAAAAGACAACGGATTTTATGAACTTTCTTTCAACTTCGATGAACTTTTTAAAATCTGATGAGCATTTTTTCAAGTTCAATGAACTCCTTTTAAATTTGATGAACTTTTTTCAAACGCGATGAACTTTTTTCCAATTCAATGACCTTTTTCAAATTCGGTGTAATTTTTTTCAAATACAATGAACTTTTTACAAATGTGATGAACTTTTTTTCAAATACTAAAATTCGATGAACTTTTTTTCAAATTCAATGAACTTTTTTCAGATTCGATGACATTTTTAAATTTTGGTGATTTTTTTTCAAATTCTTGAACTTTTGTTTGGAAATTGATGATTTGTTTTTCAAAATCATTGAAATTTTACAAATTTGTTTACTTTTCTAAATTGAAAAAAATGAAAGCCGGTTTTTTTCCTGAACCCACAACACAGTACTGCCGGAAAAAAACGCGAGCGAGTTGATTGAGCGAACGAGCGGGAGCATAAATGCTAATAGGAAAGTACTGTGTATAGGAAGCGAAAGCCACTTAGGAGTTCCCCTTCATTGCGCCCCACGAGCATAAATGCTAAAACCCACATATTATGGCCTAATTGCGCCGACCCACGGGAGAAACAGTGAGTCCCTGCCGCTATTTTTTTAAGTTATTATATATATTTATATTTATATAAAATAGAAAAAAATGTTTAAGTTTTAGAAGCATTCAATCCACTTTCCCAGAAATGTTATCGCAGTGCAAAAAAAATGTTAGAACAACTTCTAAAAAAGTTGATAGCACTAAAAAATGTTCCTGCCAACTTAAAAATATTTACGAATTTTAACAAATGCACATCAAATCTTGACAAAACAATTTCTACTGTGTAAAAAATGTTTGCTTTGATCAAGAAAATATTTCGTAACATTTACATTTTTTTAAAAGAATCCTTTTTCAACAGAAAACTGTTAGTGACATTTTCAAAAATTAAAAATATAATGTAATAAATGTTCGCATACTACCAAAAATGTTTTCAAGCATTACCAAATGTGCAATATTTAATTAAATATATTGAAACATGCATTAGAAAAAAATCAATATATGTATTTGAAACGTTATACATTAGTCTATTAAAAATGTTCATCATGTAGGAACAAAGATGCAGGTTTACACACAAAATATACTCCCTCTACTCCAGAATACTTGTCGTCGTTTTACTTCAAATTTGAACCAAATATTTCTGAATCAAGGGAGTATAAAACTAGATATGTGTTAAAAAGAACTGAAAGTAACAAGAAATATCGTGAAAAAGAAATAAAATAGTAGTATATAAGAATTGTTTTTCTTATGGATACTAAAAATGTACGATGTGTATTCGCAAAATGTAGACCTGAAAAGATCTATTTTAGAAAAGATTAATGATGTATTTTAAAATGTTGAATGTGTATAAAAATGTTCGTATTTTATACAGCAAATATGCACCCTGTATGAAAAAAGTAGATATCAAAACTTGCATCTGTGAAAAATGTTAATAATGTATTGAAAAAATATTAAGTGGGTATGAAAATGTTCCTGTGGTATTGAAGAAGTGTACATTGTGCATCAAAAAGTAGACATGTCTTTAAAATAATAATAATAATAATAAATATAAACCTAAAAAGGAAACAAAGGAATCCAAAGAAAATGATAAAATAATAATGAAAAAGGAAATAAAGAAGAAAACGGATAAATTCAGCCGAATAAACCGATGCAAAACATGACAGTGGAAATCAAAGAAAAGAGATGAAACCCCAAAAATTAACGAAGAAATGAAAAAAGTAAGATTTGTTTTTTGAAAAAACAAATGCAAAACAGTGGAACGTTTTGAAAAGAACAAGAAATCGATAAAGATTGAGATAAAAAAGAAAAAAAGGAAACAATGAAAACATAAAAGAAAAATAGAAACCTAAAAAAAAAGAAAAAATCCAGGAAAACCGAGCGACTGAACGCAACGAAATCGACAACAACTGTGCGGGCGAAGGAAGAAGCGGGCGAGCGAGCAAAACGAGCTAGATGGGCCCATATGTGCGGGCATCAAAGGCGAGCCAAGCTACATCTCGCAATAAGTGAGATATAGCTCTGGCGTATTATGAGTCCCTACATCGAGCATACCTCAAAGCTGCTAGTGTGCGACCGGCCAATCACTATTATGCCTGTCGTACTAGAATTTTTTTCTACCCTGCAAAAAAAAATGATAGTGCGACCGGCATAATAGTGATCGGCCAGAGCCAGCCAAACGGGCAATCATTCTTTTTGTTTTTTCCTGGATGGTTTTATATGGATTTTTTCCGTGACTATCGGTTTTTTGGTTTCGATCTTGTTTTCTTTTCTTCGTTCCCTTTTTTGAATAAAACTCTTTCTTCCCTTTTTATTTTGTTCTCCTTTCCTAATTTTTTATATTTAATTTGTTAAACACACATTGAAAAAAATGTCAAATACACACTGATTTTTTTGAAGTATAAGTTTTTTTTTCGAATAAATGCTGGAATATATTTTGAATACATGTTGAATTTTCTATATAATAAACAGTCACCATTCCATAAAAATAGGTGAAAATTTTGTAAACACATACTACAAAACACTTTTCAAATATTTTTTCTAAAAATATGGTACATTTTTAAACATACTTTGCGTTTTCTAAAATACATGTCAAATAATTTTCTAAATACTCAACGAAGAAATTTTCTTAAGATACAAGACACAATGAATATTGTAAAAGTACGCCGCAAACATTTCTAAACACATCTGGAACAATTTTTCAAAAATATATTTACACTTTTTAATATATCATTTAATAAAAATACATGGATACTTTTAAAGGTTTGTGAACAGTTTTCTTTGTATTATATGCCCGAGATACAGTAGAGCGGTGACCTTTTGTGTTTTATGCTCAAAAATGGTAAAAAAAAGAGAACAAAGTTTACAAAAGGCTTACCAACTACCGCCCAATCTTGTTGCGAACTGCCAGAAGCGACTTGATTGTAGGCGAGCATGGCTTCCGACTCGCAACAGGCGAGCTATAGACGCTCCCGTCGCGAGGTGAGATATGGACTTACCACATGATGGTCAGGCAGGCTCCTAGGTTGGTAGAGCGCAGGCCACAGTGAATTAGGAGAGCTCCTATGCGCCACTCGCTGCGGCAAATTGTCGAGCGGACGCACAGGCGCGTCTCCAACTGGGTCGGCCCATTCGTGCAACGCATTGTAAAAATCCCAAAAAACTCTGCTCGAGAGAAGGATCAAACCAAGGATCTCCATCTTTGTATGCACGAGCATAGCCATCGTGATAGACAAGCTTTCTTGGTTTGCTATAGCGTGCGGAGCTAAATGTAATGGAGACACGAACATTTTCTCAAATTCCTAACACGAAAATTATTTTGAAAAGGTGTTTCTTAAAAAGAGAACACTTTCCAAATTTTAGAAGAAAAACTAAAAGGCTTGAACAAATTTTTGATAAACTGAACACTTTTTAAAATGCCGAATATTTCTTGAATTTAGAGAACAAAATTTATAAATCGAGAACAAAATTTGAACATGAACAATTGTTTTAAAGCACGAACATTTTTTTAATCTTGAGAACAAATTTTGAAACGGAGAACAAATTTGTAAGCACGGAAATTTGAGAACAAAATTTGAACATGAACATTTTTAAAGCATGAACATTTTTTTAATCTTGAGAACAAAATTTGAAACAGAGAACAAATTTGGAAGCGCGGATGTTTTTTTAAATCATGAACATTTTTCTTTTGAATTTTGAGAATAAATTTTGAAACGTAGAACAAATTTGGAAGCGCGAACAATTTCTTAAAGCACGAACATTTTTTGAATAGTGAGAACAAATTTTGAAACAGAGAACAAATTTGAAAAATCCCGAATATATTTGGGAGCGCAAACATTTTTTGAAAACCTGAACAAAAAAGTTGAAGTTCGATACATTATATTAAGTTCGAAAGTTTTGCAGTTTTTTGTGTAACGAGAACAATTTTTGAATTTTGAGAACAATTTTTAAAAAACTGAACATTTTATGGAAAGGCAAACAAAATTTGAATATTTTGAAAAAAGAGAAAAGAAAAAGGAAATAAAATAAGAAACCAAAGAAAGAAAACAAACAGAAAAAACTAAAAAAAAGAAAAGAAAAAGGAAACAGAAGGAATTTGAAAATCTGAAGAACAAAAAAGAAATAGAAAGAGAAGAAAAAGAATTAAAAAATGAAATAAAGAAACAGAAACACAAAGAAAGAAGAAAAAAAGAAACAGAAAAGAAGAAAAAGGAAAAAACAGAAAAACTAATGAAAGCAACGAAAACCCGGTTCAAGGAACCTTCTAGAAGGTTCACAAAACCGGATTAGGCAGTTGGTAAGTATCTGAGTGGGCCGGCCCAGGCAGCGTCGCTCGGTTGTTCCCCCTGTGCGAAGCGCCCGCATTTTGCCGCAGTGAGCGGCCAATAGGAAATTCCGCGAATTAGGGTATGCCATAGGGACTTTAGTCTACACTACTATTAAAAGAGCAAACGTAAATTCTCCTAACTCCACACAACAAACTGTACAGAGGATAACCAAAGCCCTCCGATGAAATCAACTTAAGTAGATCCTACCGTTGATATTACGCTAATGATCTGCCACGCAAATCAACGTCCCGGATTGGATGTTCTGCCGAGCAGACGCTCCATGGTCTGTCAATTTCCATCCCCGATCCGCGCCCGCAGCTCCGGATTTTCGGATTGATTCCACCGGAATCGTGGCTCCTCGACCCATTTTTATTTGGCCCCACATCGGAAAGAACGGATCCGCAGCAACCTTGCCCACCATGGAGGCGGTGATAGCGGCGGCGGAAGAGAGCGTGCGTGCCAATGGGGCTACGAAGACGGTGGTCGTGGCCGAGGACGGGCGATATCACCAGGGCGACAACAATTACGGCGGCGGCAACAACCATGGCGGCCTGCAGTGAGCGTAGCAACTACGGCGGCCGCGGCGGCCGAGGAGGAGGAGGAGGAGGCCAGAGTCAGCCGCCCCCGACATGCACCAAGCCGCACTGCCGCAGGGCCTCCCCTCTTCGAGCGCTACCACGCAGAGGCAACACAGCTCGGGAAGAAGTTCCAGGCGATGGACATCAGTCGTGCCGCTGTAGATCCAATCGACCGGCGATGGAGCAGTTATTGGCGTTCCTCCGCGCGGCACCAGGTGCATCACTCCTCCACAATCCTCTCCCCGCCTCGCGGTCCCTACCAGAAGCCTTGCAAGCCGCAGCCTCCCAGATCCTCCTCTCAACGCATCTCCGCTTCCCCTGCGACGTTGCCGGCTTCACGATCTCCACCATGATGGGAGTCACAAGCTCAAGGGAGTGCGTCGAGGCCATGGCGATGTTGCTCCCTTCCTACCGTCCTCACCGTGTTCCGCCACTTGCGGCAGGAATCCATGGCGCAGGCGGAGAAGCCTCCTGCCGAGGAGTGATCCCTCCGTCATAAGACGAGGTTATTCAGTTACACTTACACACCCGCAGCTTAAAATTTGTTCCTTTCTATTTTTGCAGATTTTGAATTCAATGTGGTAGAGAACACCCACAAAATCATCACAAGGATTCATGAACCTACTTTCGAATGGAAGAAATGTGATGTTCAATTGCCATTAACCCGATCGATCTCTTGCATGGTAAATCTCCAATGGTTTGAATCTGGTTCCTCTGCGGACTATTATGATGTTTACAGAGTCGGATTTTGTGCAGGGGAAGGGGAGACCGAGGAGGAAATGGCGACCAAGAGGTGCGCAGGCACCCTGGGTGACAAGGGCCTCAGGGGGGAGAAGGTGTTCCTTAGTGCCGATCTGAACGTTCTGCTGGACGACGGCCTGAACATCACTGGTGACAACCGCATCCGCGCCTCCATGCCGTCCATCAAGTTCCTCATGGGGAAGGGCGCCAAGGTTGTCCTGGCCAACCATCTGGTGAGCGCACGCTTCTGCCATTCAGTCAGCCTCCCGTGTGGCGCACGACTGTAGCTGCTTGATGTCGTGAGCAACACCACTGGATGGCCCAGCCACCCCTTCATCGCAGACCTCGCTGGTATATTCCTTTGGGATCCCTATTCCTTTCTTGCTGTTCTGACAAAGGAAATTTCAAATCTTGTGTTTTTTTATTTGATACGCCCTGTGCCGAACTGCCGAAAACTTAATTCTAAGTGCCGCGACTGAAATTCCTGTTAAGTTCATATGTTGCAATTCTGAAACTGGATTTTGTGTATGTATTTATTCTAATGTCCGTCGGATCAACTGTGCTAATTTACTTCTCATGTTAAACTGACGTGTGATACTGGGTTTTGTGTACTTTCAATAGTCTTGCAATTTTCGTTAGGATTTGGTGCGTAAGCATTTTCACATGATTTCTAACAATCCAGTTCATCTTTTCGTTGCAGAAGACTAACCAACTAGACGCAGATCCATTTCATTCTACTAAGTGTCCCAGGCTGTGTATGCTAGCCTCCTCCGCTACATTTGCAGGCCGCCGAGTCCAACTCCTCTGCGGTGCAGATCACCCGCCCACCGCGCTGCGCAACTCACGATGCAGGCGGCCCTCCTCCACGGTGAGGTGTTCTTCATGCTTATCGATATTAATTTAATTCAGAGTCTGTTTTGGTGTGTTTGGAGTGTGGATGGTAAGATGATGTGCTCAAATAGAATTAGAAGAGCAGGCATATCCATATGGTGGTACTTTTTTCATAATAAATGGTGGTGGTGCTAATTAACTATTGGCTCTTAGTTTGATTCAGAGTCTAGGTGCACTGCTAGAAACTTACTTTAGCAATTTCGCAAAGAAAAATCGACTTTTTGTTCAGCTGTTTGAACTTACTTTTCATATATGCTGATCACGGTTTAATTTCAAAATGAAAAGAGAATCCAATCCATACTGTGCTATAGTACTTTTTGGTGTAAACTAATTCAAGAGTACTACTTAAAATCTGATGGGGAATACTGATGATGCGTCATTTTGGACTAATCTTCTTAACTGAGACCAAATTTAAATGCCCTAGAGGCCGTAACACTAGGATGACTTACTCCTTTCAGCATCTAACATTTATTACCAAAAAAAACTGAGAAAACTCCAGTTATGGTGATCATGTAGGCATGAGCCCCTGTGTTCTGGACAACTAAGGTTACATGCAAAATTACCTGATCATGTAGCAATTCGGATTTAGACGCATGCATTTAGATTGGGTGGTGAAGCGAGCCCGCCATTTTATTTCTCTGAAAGAACTATACAATGATCTTTGGCTATTGCTTTCAGTATTACAGTGACAACCTTTCTATGGTATTTTGTTGGACAACTTTTTGTGTAATGTCTGGCACCTCAATATACGTTAAATAAGTGCAAGCTTGGGTATATATTTTTCTCTCTCTCATGTTGTATTCATTTTATTTGCTCTGCTACTTTGGGTAAATAGAATCACGCACAAGCTCCAGTTAGTTCCTTATTTTGTCTGTTTCAGACTTAGGATTGTAGGGGAAAGTGTGAACTATGAATTCATACCAGAACTGGATTGGCCATGGCACGTCTTCACCGACGAGTCATGACGTCGACAACAATATTGAAGATTTCCCGTTTCCTTTATTTTCAAGCATCTCTCAAAAGTATAATATATGCAGGTTCATCATTCATGCGAGGGATATGAAAGATGAAACAGAAGTAAAAGGTGTTTATGCCTACGGGCTATGGAGCATCATAATGTTGGAGAAGTGTCGTGCCGATTTTATAGATCCAGTAGCATCCTACTACTCGCAGTTTCTGTGGTTCAATCAAATCAATAGTACAATTTTCAAATGATAAATTTGTTATGGTTAGATATAATTTTTGAAGTTTCGAGGTTTTGTGAGATGAGATGATGGCTCATATATGTCATTTTGGCAAAAGTCCCACTACGGTCATATCTTGTAGTTCAATTAGATAATGCAGTTTTCAAATGATACGTGATATGGTGATATGCTTTTATTTATGTATTTCCTATATTCCTCACCACCGGCATTTGTGCATGAATTGGCTACATGTGTGCAAAGCTAACTAAATAAGAACGAGATGAATTACATGTCTGCAAAACTAACCAAATATGAATGAGATGAATTTCTGGGCCGCAGTTTGTGCCAGAGCTTACTAGGAAAGAAACGCTCTATGGCAAAATCACCACTCTCCTATTATTTTTATTTTCACCGGTTTACGGACTTCATTCTTCACCAGAAGCCGCGGAAAATATTTATGAATAGCAACAAAACTAGCAATAACTATGTTTGTTTCTATGCCGCCCTGCTCCATGTAAGTCGACAAGTCTTTTACAATATCAGTCGGATAACAAATATAATTTTTCACCATGTTAATTTTTTTAATTTAAATTAGACTTTATTCCTCAAATAATGCTCATATCGTTTACAAGGAGATGTTAATTAGCAATACTACATGCTAGAGTCCATTCCCTGGAAGTACTTAACTTCCTCTTTGCAGAATCCACATACTATGTATTAACGTACATGTTAAAAATATGCTTACACAAGAGATTTTTCTTCTTCTCACGGTTATACGTGCATTGCACGTGCACGCTTACTAGTTCTGAGAAGTTGCGCAAGAGGAGTAGTTTATGGCAGTATAGCGCTTAAGTCGCGGAGATGGCCCTATAGCCCATGCTGGGCCATGACCCATTAAGATAGCTTGGTCACTCATCGGCCGCTCGGTTTGCTATGGATTTTTGTTCACTTGTGCATCTCCTATTATTAGTCGCTTGACTTAGCTCGGTACAGCGTTCTTTTCGCTAAAAAAATTTGGCTCAAAAAAAAGCTATCAATTTTTTTGTGAGTGTGTGGAATAAAGTGAATGAAACCAAAAAATGTTCACGTGTTTGATTTTATTCAAAATTTAATATAATTTCATGAATTTAAGAAAAATGTTCATGAAATATATTTATAAAATAATATAATTGCAAAATATTCAGGATTTTTTTAGGTCATCACAAATTTTCACTTGTTTTGGAAATATTCACGAATTTGAAAAATAAGTATTCATAAATTTATAAAATATTCTTGATTATTAAAAACGAAACAAACCAAAAAAGGGAAAAGAAAAATGTAGACGGCAAATAAAAACCGATCAAAACAAGCAGAAAAGGCACAGATAAGGAAAAAACAGCATGAAAACATTCTATAAAAATCCTAAAACCAAAAATCTTAGTATTATCCATACATGGGCAGGCTAGAAAGAACACGCTTCGTCTCGTGCTTCAAGCCAACAACGACAAGGGTTTATACCTCCATAGGTGGCGTCACCGATCTGCCTCATCTCTTGTGGTCTTAGGGCCATGGGGTTGCAGTGAATCTTGACCCTGGTTGACGAGAGGGCTTTGTTTTTGGATCTTTTTTTTAAGTTTTGTTAGGATTTGTGTTTTACTCGGGAAGGTGAGACGGCGGAGCCTTCCTGAAGAAGGAATAAGGTACTCCCCGCCTAGCCCCTTCCCGGTGATGCATCTAGTATCATCGGAGGACGTGTGGAGGTGTGTCTACAACAGATCTTGAAGGATTCAGTCGGCGGTTATCTTTGGTGGATCTGCTCGAATCCGGTCTTCGTTCGTCCATGTTCGCGTGTCTTCAGCTTGGATACTTCCGATTTAAGCATCTCTTTATCAGTGGTGGTTGTTGTTCCGGATGCACTGATACTATGGGGCCTTCGCAGTTAGCACAACAACTTCCCGACAGTCTACTATAGTAAGTTTTTTTCAACTTTGGCGAAGAGGGGCATTGACGGCAGCACGCCATCATTTTGCTTCAGTGCTTGCATTTGTCCCTTCGTGGTCTATAAAGCTGGATATATTTTTTATTATTTCTGACGTTCCTTGTACTGTCTGATTGAAGATGAATAGATTGAAAATTTTCCCACGAGAAAGAAAGAAAAAGAGTCAAACAAGATCTTTTTCCCCGAAACAAAAGATGAATAAGAATTTCCATCACCATCCGATGGAGGAGCTGAGGGGATGAAAGCATGGGCTTCGCTATTCCGTATCTTGGTGGGCCTATTTCATTTTGGGTTGAGGCCTCTGCTACAAATCGAACCTGTAAAATAGTACATGATAGAAGGAGGGCAACTAATCAAGGACTACTCGTTCGGGAGCCCCTGCAAGGGTTATTTGGGGTGGGCTGAGAGTACGTCATTTGTCACGCTCCCAGCTGCCTCGACATGTCGCGCTCTGGATGCTTCCTTCCGATTTTCTTTGTTTTTTAGTATGCATTCCCGGCTTTTAGATGATTTTTTTTTCTGATTTTCGGTATTTCACCGGTTTTACATAGGACACGGATAAAAAAACATTCGGAAAAAAATCGTGAAAAATATGTTTTTTTCTTCCGCGAGAGGCACATATTTACTTCTCATGAAGGCACGAATCTGCTTCGACAAGAGGCACGGTCGAGTCTCTACGGAAGGGGAAAACACGTTTTATCTTATTTTTCCTTGTGCGAAAGGCACAAATTTACTTCTCATAGAGGCACGGATCTGCTTCCGCTCTTGAAAAGAAAAAAATTGCCTTTTCTTTTTTTGTCCTTTGACGAGATGC